GCGTGAGTGAGGTAACTCAGACGGAGACGCTAGCGCTTTGTGATCCGCGGTCGGCAGTGCCCGTCAGCCAGGAATCACACAAGCCCTAGGAGATGGCAGCTACCAGGGTTGACCATCGCTGGGGACCTTGAGCATCGGCTCCCCGGCCGTTTCAGAGCCGGAGTGGGGAGACCTGCACTGACGCCAGCGTTCAAGAGTGTATGCGACGAGGGAGCACGAGGAGAGTGCCGACGGCGATGTAGACGGAGACTTCGACGAAACGAGGTGATGGCGGCTATGCGCTGGGGATTTTGAGCATCGGCTTCCAGGTGTCCTCGGAGTTACGCCATGGATAAAGACGTCGAGAAGACGATGTGGAGAAGGACCTCTGCGATCACGAAAGGCAGCGAGAGTGAGGTAACTCAGGGCGAAGAGAACATGACGAAACTGCAGACTAAGCCATTGACAAAGACATTGAGGAGATAAAGTGGAGAAGGACTTCTGCGATCACGCCAGGCAGCAGGTGTGAGGTAACTCCCGGCTAAGTCGTTGGCGGCGAATTCGAGGAGACGAACTGGAAGTGAACTGGGAAGGAGGAGCACAGCCAAGAGGACAGCAAAACGGAGCTGTAACGAAAGGAACGTGGAAAAAACGGCGGTGGAGAGTGGAAGGGTGACGATTGGCGCTAGGTCGGTGTAAATACAAAGGAATCAACAAAGTAATCTCCGAATGGAAGGGTGACGATTGGCGCTAGGGCGGTGTGAATACAAAGCGATCAATAAAGTGATCTCCGAAGCTCTGGGAGAAGGGGGAGAAACGGGACGGCGATCCCGACAGGCGAACAACGATGGGAGCAGAAGACGGGAGAAAGTGCAAGTGACGAGGGTGAACTTTCTCTCTCCTGCCCCCCTCTCATCCCGACCCCCTTTTCCCCACCACCCGACTGAACCAAACCTTCCCTTCAACCACGTGTCCCGTAACCCTGTCACCCGACCACTAATGGGAATCTCTTCTGAATGACCTTGGTTTGTCTGACTCGCATACCTTACTATCACGGTCTTACCCCTCTCACCTGTCCCGCCTCCCTCACAATCGCCCGCTAAACACTAATTACCCGTTGAACCCTACCATTGTCAGGGGGAAGTGAGGGCTGCAGGGTGCTGACCTGCACAGACCCTGATTGGGAGGGGCAAGAATGGCCCCGCCAAACCAACTTCAACCGACCCCCCGCACAAACGAAGGCAACTTCAATCTGTAAAGACCCTGCCGAAGGATACAACAAACAAAACATGCAAACCGCAGGGGCACATACAGGAGGCACGAAGGAGACATGGAAAGACATAGTCAAAGGTGCACAGGATC